ATTTCACTTTCACGATCCTGCTATCAAGTGAGAAGAATACCGAAATCTGTGTCTTCAGTAAAGCAAAAACGATTCCATGAACTCTTTTCAGAAAACTACACACAAGATAGTCAAGTAAATAATAAAAATCAATCTTTGTGTCAGAAAGGAAAGTAAAGGCCTCCTTTTGCCTCAAGTCCTTCTTTTGTTTCTCCTACAAACATCATAACTTTCACGGAATAAAATAAAATTAAAGGGAAAGAAAAAAAAAAGGTTTGATAGAAAAGTTCCAAGTCACTCTCATAAAGTGATACTCATAAAGTAGTAACAAACAATTAATAATCACAACTAAATGGCAAACTTGTTAACTTATTACAATACATTATTACAAAACACAAAAGAGACGTAAATAACTTGCACAATTAGTTATTATTTGCATTTGCTTTAAACATATACAGTGTATTTATCAATGTATGACAAGAGATATTGTATCAAGTGTACTGTATTACTCCCACAATTCAGCCAAGATGTTTGGTTGCTGTTTGACCTTTCACTGTTTCGGTTAAGCTCACAAAGCATTAGTAATACCCATAGCAGAGTTTGTGCTGGTCAAGCTATATTTTCCAGTGTTCCATTAGTCTCTCTTTTTGTCCTTCGCCAAATTTTCTGCATGTTTGGAAACACTGTTTTGCTTTAAAATGAATCTCTGTCTAACACATCTTGTTCCTGAGGGAATGACATGATGGATGAGAATCTGCTTGTAACAGTCACCATTCAGGGTGCCACCATTTTACGTAGATCACCAACACCGACACTTGTATCGATCTCCCAGGATGCTTCACTGAAGATACTCTATTGTGACAGAATTCTTCTCTTTGGCATGAAATAATCTGTCACTCATTGTTGCCCACCAATATGAATTTGGACTGATCGTAAAGAGCAATATTTGGATTGATCTGTAAAGAGCACAATCTTCTCCAACTCTTCTCACCTCATTGTATAATAGTTGGTGCTCATTTCGGTTTGGTTATCTCGCTTTAATTTTGAGTCTCTTAAGTAGTGGTTTTTGAGCAGCTACACATCCATGAAGATCACTTCATGGTAACGTGTATTTTATTGTTTTATAGGCAACGTTCACACTTATATTTACAGCTAAATAATGGCAAGATGTCTTCTGGGTTGTGATGTGTCACACAAAGGATTTATCCTGAGCTACGTAACTTACTTTCATCTACACTCTTGGGAGTTTTCATACAATTCCTAATGTAAAATGAAAAATTGCTTTACTCTGTAATTTCAACCGGCCAAAAGTTTGATTTCTACACATTTGCCATATGACATTTTTGTCTTGAGAGACTAGAGAGCATTCACTATACATTATGCATTCATTATGTTGGTGTGGCATTGTCTGATTGGTTGGATGACTATCGACACATGACTGAACTCTTGTGTGTACTTCATTTTTATGAAACAGATGTTGAGCAATCCCATAATATCTGTGTTTTATAGTTACTTTGTTCTCTTTTTCCATAGGTATTTCCAATAGTTCATGTTTTTGTTACGTGTCTAAGTTTAATTATTACGAAAACGCCCAAATCTTGAAAGGAAAAGAGTGGCCCAAAATAAGATGGTTAACTTATGGTATTTTTAATAACTCATTACTGTAACATTATTGTTAGAAACGCCGTTATTACGAATCTAATGTAACTCTCCCAACAGTACTAACTCTTCTCTATGTATTTTATTCTAAGCCAGAGCTACTGAGTAGGGATAGTTCAGAAGGTACATTGAGTCTTTAATACCATTTTGTCACTAGAAACTGGAGAAGAAAAATACTAATAAATGCTTTTCTTAAGAGACAAAATTACAAATTACACGGTAAAACATTAACACGTGTAAGAACTTTGTTCTTCTCCTGATCTTTAATTCTACTCTTTGTAAGCAACAATTCTGTTTTTAAAAGAAGAAGGAAACCATCTTGAACACAGAACGAATACTTCCATCCTTAAGGCAGATTTACCAAAGGGGTGGGGGCTGAAAATGAGATATGGCAACTGGCAGCTTGCTGGAAATTTAACTTGTTCTTGCTGTTATTACGAGGAGGTCTACGTGTATCTGTTACGTTACGAACCCAGAAAGAAAGCCAACAACAAATACTAGATTCTTTGAACTGTTTTTTTCCTTTACTTCGATACAATAGATCGGTTACGTTGTTAAGAGTGCCGTTGCAATGGAACACATCTTGGCTCTTTTACGCTTTCCAGCGCGTGGAATCTCACATTGATCTTTGTTGTGTGTACACGTTGGTTGTAAGGGGGAAGTCCCGATAGAGGGCGAGCCGTTTTTTCCACAGCTGTTACATTTCCCATGTGTGAGCTGTGGATACTGTTAAGTACTATAAGGACTGGGTCTGTTTATTACGCATTTATTGGGGTTATGCTTTTCGTATTATTCAGCATAATTCTAAAGTATCATTTTATATCCAAGTATTTTATTTTTTGAAAAGACTCTTCTTCAATATTTAATCGAAGAGTATTGGAATGTGGTTCCTCTACGATGCTCAAAATTAGAATAAAAATGAATAATTATCGTTTGGTTCAAAGACAACAGACGAATAATCTCAACGTTCTCTTACGCCCGAAAAAATTCTAAATCATGTCCAATGCAAAACAAAAAAAGAAGAAGAAGTCTTGAAAAAATAAGTTTTATACCGTAAGTTATGATAAATATAGTAAAAGTTACAAAAATTCCATTAAATGTTGGTTTAAAATATTTTATGATCTGATATTTATTACAGCACTCTGTCACTAATTTCCTTGTACCTACTCGTGTTTCCTACCAAACAATATTTGTATATATTAATGTCTTCTAGCAACCAACACTTGTACTTATTCATGTCTCCTAGCAACCAACACTTGTAGTTATTCATGTTTCCTAGCAACCAACACCTGTACTTATTCATGTTTCTTAGCAACCAGCACTTATACATATTCATGTCTCCCAGCAACCAACACTTATACGTATTCATGTCTCCTAGCAACCAATACTTAAAACTTATTGCTCTTTATGTTCGCTAATTTGTATTCAAATGGTCTGGCGGTCAGGCTACTCGACTCGCAATATGAGGTTCGCGGGTTCGAATCCCGTCCCTAAACATGCTCGCACTTTTAGCCGTGGGGGCGTTATAATGTTACATTCAATCCTACTATTCGTTGGAATTGTAGCCCAAGAGTTGGATGTGGGTGGTATTGACTAGTTGCTCCCCTCTAATTTATCACTTCAAAGCTATAATGACTACAGCAGATGGCTCTCGCGTAGATTTGTGTAAAATTCAAAACAAACAAACAATTACTGAAAGGCAACTTTATTTTTCTCTAAACTATTCCACACTAATAGAGTAAATTTATTGACCTTCGAAGTTTCATGTTCTTCGATTAGGTTAGGCCTTCAACCACTCCTACGTGATAAACCCTCAGAAACAGTCTGAATGTTTATGTTGTTGTTTTTTGTGGATCCAATAAATATATAAGATGTACGGCCACGTGAGATGGATTCCCTACTGTCTTAATTTATGCACTCCAAAAGGTGCCTTTTTTATGATTCATTAGGCATTCTCACGGATGAATCGCCCGTGGGGTTAAAACACATAGTGGTATAGGTAGGTGGAAGAAATGACATGATGACCAGGAGTGGCACCTTTAAAACACTCTTACCATTGGACACTGTCTAATTAAAATTCGATCTTTGCCGAAGGTGATGCTTTCAAAAGTTACAAGTAACTAACACGTCGTTTCTATGCACCCCATCTTGTCTATGTATAATGCAAGCAGATAAGCCGGTGAATAATCAGGTAGGCCTGGGGCAAATGTTAGCGCAAACCCAAAATGATACAAGGGCTGTAATGTCCAACACGTCTAACCGAATAAGACCACTATTGCTGGCATTTTTTTTTTCATCCCACTATTACAGTTGTTATAACGGCTTCCTGAAATTGTAAACGTGAATTGGGAATTGCGTTCTGGCTCAGTGTTACAAATACCTAAGGTGCTTTGGTACTTTAAACTTTTTAAAATTTTTGAGATGGCTCCTTATGTTTTTGCTTAAAGCCTTCTATAGGTAGAAAGCTGAAATCTCTTTGATAGCAAGTTATACATCTAATTTAATACACTAAGGAAGATGCGTTAGTTTTAATTAAGCTCAAGTATTACGACATGCTATTTGAAACAAATCTGTAGAAAAGCTGATAAACAATAACAAAAATAACCTTTAAAAATCCGTATTTTGAGGTTTGTCTATATTTTTCAGCACCGTTATAATAGTGTAAGTTGCCTCAATTTGCTCTTTTTTCCCTTGAAACTTGTACAACGCTAACGAATAGTAATATGGGTTTTTAATCTTAAAACTAGAATTTGTCTGACGTGTCTCGGAGAAAGATTACTTTCTAAGTTAGATTTTTAAGTGAAGCTAGTAGAGAATATAAAAATAATGAGCCTCGGAGAGATATCGAAACCTTAAAATACGTGTAAATGAAACCGATTACAGTAGTCACACTTATTTACCTTTGGATGAACGTTCACAAGATGCCAATTCATATACCGAATTTAGTAAAACTGTCAGACAATTTGTTATTAAATTAAAATAACTAATATAATGTCAAAAATACTTGGCCTAATTGTGGTATGTACTTACATAAATACAACGGATAAAAAATACACTTTACAAACCTAATCCATTTCTCATCATAATGATCGTTGTGAAGCGATTTGTCCATAAAACAGGCCTTCAATTATTACTGTGTCTGTAGTATCTAAGCAGGCCGGAAGCACACTGGCATTATCCGAAAGGTCTCGTCAGTATTGGATATTATTACACACTTTCTTTACTTTCAATCAGGTGTTCTTGTAATAAGGGTTAATTAGCATTAAGTGTACTGCATTTGTTGTAAAACACTGTTGTTTGTTTGTTTTTTCGTCCACGTGGACCTCTTTTTGTTAATTGTTGTTGTTTGTTTCGTTATTTAGCTTCCGTATAGACAACACTGACCATATTATTGATGTCAACAAGGGAAATATACCTTTTGAATACGACCAAGTCAATATTATATGTCCAGTCTACACTCCAGGGACAGAAGAAGAAGACGTAGAAACCTATATAATATATAATGTAAGGACACTTAGATATATTATAAAACAAATCATAATAATTGAGTAGTATGTTTTGTTCATATAAATATAATAACGTGTGTTTATTTGCTTTTAATTTCAGAACAATTAAAATAAAGGTTTTGGATCATATATGATTTTAATAAAAGGATCTCCTATAAGGTGAAATTTTATCTGTTTCTAAACTTCAGTTATGTTTGGAATAAATAACGATTTAATAAGGTAAAGTTTTTATGTGTTTCTAAATATCACTTCTGTTTGGAATAAATTATGATTTAATAAAGTAAAGTTTTTATGTGTTTCTAAATATCACTTCTGTTTGGAATAAATTATGATTTAATAAGATAAAGTTTTTATGTGTTTCTAAACTTCAGTTATGTTTGGAATAAATAACGATTTAATAAGGTAAAGTTTTATGTGTTTCTAAACTTCAGTTATGTTTGGAATAAATAACGATTTAATAAGGTAAAGTTTTATGTGTTTCTAAACTTCAGTTATGTTTGGAATAAATAACGATTTAATAAGGTAAAGTTTTTATGTGTTTCTAAACGTCACTTGTGTTTGAAATAAATTATGATTTAATAAGGTAACGTTTTTATGTGTTTCTAAATATCACTTCTGTTTGGAATAAATTATGATTTAATAAGGAGAACTTTAATGTATTTCTAAACGTCAATTGTGTTTTGAAATCAATGGGTAGTGGATGTGTAAGTGATTTGATTTTAATTCATACGCATTTTTGATCTATTTTAGCTTTCATCAGATCAATGTAAACTGAACTGAAGTAATTGAAAATTGAAAAATCTATTCGTTGAAACGCGTAACTCTGAAAAAAACCCCACAAATAAACAAATATATCTTATTTTTTCCAATGTGTATTTTAATACAACTGGTAACCTCTTTGGAAAGATTATTGACATGTTAATACAAAATATATACTATATAATTCAGTATCATTATAATTATTTTTGTTGATAAATGTCAATAATAATAATTGCATGTTATACACATATGTAAAAAAGTCATATTTCACACATTCTTTTACAAACTTTAAACCCACTTATTGACGTTGCTGTTGCGACATTTAGTTACGAAGTTTCTTAATACGTGTTTATTGTTGTGATTTAATGCAAGGCTACACAGTGAGCTATCTGCGTTCTGGCCAAGAAAGGGAATTGAACCTCGGATTTTAGCGTTGTAAATCCGTAAGCTTACCGCTGACTAAAAGGTGAACCACATGTATAGTAAAGACTCACGTATAGCAGATAATCCATTGTCTATTTCTACTTATAACATTTTGTTCTTTGTGAAATGAAAGACATTAGAAAAAACTATATTGATGCGCATGGCTGAATTACATCGGATGTGACGTCAGCAACTAGATTGCAAGCCTTTTTAGAGATGTTATTACCCTTTCGAAAATATGTTGTTTTCACTTATCTTTAGATATTTTCTTAGGTGATACAAAAACTGTTTGATGAAAAGTAGCCAATGAACAGATACAAATTGTAGCCCTGAACTTCCGAAAGCTCGGGCACATTTCGCCGTAGTTCTCCACAGTTCTAACATAACGAACGCCAACATGTTATTAGTTAATCTTTAGACAAAATTTCATTTCAACTAGTGAAGAAAGAAAACCAACGAACCAGCTTTAGTAGATAATATTTTTTGTTGTCACAGGTTTCTAAGGAGGAGTATGATTCTTGTCGAATAAACAACCCCAACTCACGAGTTATTGCCGTCTGTGATAAGCCTCATCAGCTCATGTACTTCACAGTCACATTTCGTTCGTTCACCCCCCAGCCTGGCGGTTTAGAATTCAAGCCTGGCCAAGATTATTATTTTATATGTAAGTTATTAAATCTTTCAGTGTGGTTATCCATTTATCTGTCAATAAGTTCGTCCACCGACGTACCTGCTCGTCCATCTGTCTTATCTCACTAACTTATCTACTTGTCAATCCATTCTGTATGTTCGTCCATGTATCTATCTAACGAACTAACTACTTATCGTTTGTCCGACTATCTTTCGATCTATCTTTCTGTTCATCCATCTATTTGATATACTGACGATCTATCAATACCTCCCCCCCGACTATTAATGTATTCGTCGATCCATCTGTCTGTCTGTTCATCAATCTACTTACCTACCTGTTTCTCCATCTATCTATCTACTTATCCGTTCGCTCGACTACTTATCTCTCTATTCATTCACCAGACTATCTGTCTATCTAGAACACAACATTCTGAATTTATGTTCTTGAGTAAAGCAGAAGCGATCGATTACGTCAAGTGAGTAATAACATTAAACCTATCGTGTCACGTGATTCTGTATTAACTACGTGCCTAGAATGCATTCTTGATAATATATGGTTATGTCATGCGGTTAGTACCAAACTTTTTAAATTCTTTCTATTGCAGTTATCAATAATTGAAATAATTGGCTTGTTGTGGAATGTATTTAGCATTAGAAAAAACTTAAAACAAAAAATAACTCGATCCTTAACATTAACTGTAAAAACCAACCCATAATTTTACAAAGCTACAAATTAAGAAAAAATATTAACCCATAACTTCATCTACGGGCGAATAATAAATCAACCCATAATCTCATTTGCATTAGAAAGAAAATGGCATTTAAAAAACAAATCGACTAGGTTTATAAAATAACAAAACACAATTTAAGTGATTTTTAATTATGTTTTTGAAAAAAAAATCGGTAACTATTGTAGTGATCTAACAGCAGGAGTCAGGAGTTTAGTCGTGCTGATGGCTAAAAGAATAAAATATATAATTTAAAAAAAAATTCATGTAAAAAAATATAATAAGAAAAAAACAAAATCCAACTTTTCGTACTTTCGAACCTAATCAATTACAAAGTATGTTTTTGTATAACAATGCTTGAATTATATCACACAAAGATCCAGTAACACAAACTAGGGTTTGGTTTCATATCTTGTATTTTATATCTAGAAACGCCTCATCTGTCATTAAAATGTGTTTGAAGTCAGAAACTACCGTTTTAAGGTGCTACCGGAAAGAGTAATTAAACTTTTTTAAGTTCTTTTAAAAAAGTGTCAGCTTATATTTAACATAGTGTGTGTGTGTGTGTAATAAAATTAATCATACTTTTTTTAAATTCCAATCCATCGAAAATATTAATTTAGATCGTTATATTCCTTAGCGACATCTGGTGGAAGGCTTGATCAACTAAACCAGCGTATGGGTGGACGCTGTGCTTCTCGTAATATGAAGATTATCTTCAAAGTGTGCTGCGATCCCACGAAAAGTAAGGTTTTCAGTATTTATGAGGTTGTTGATGAAAATGACGTTCGACTGTGTTTGTTTATATAATTTTGATTTATCCTTTAAATGTCGCAGCGAGGCCATAATACAGTTTTTATCTCTTTATAGTTCGCATTAGTTAACTTGAACGTATTGTTACGTCTCTGCTCATTTGTTACTTTCCGGTATAAATTCTTTCCGCGGAACTTCAACGATACAAGTTCTTTCTTAATTAAAACTAGTTTATTCTTTCTTGATACAACTTTTTGTAATACACAGAATTTCCACAGTCACTTTAAACTTAACAATCTTTATAACACACGCTATAAATCACAGTGATTCACACACTTACTTACGGTGCCTACTGTTCGCTTGACTCAATTATTTATCTCTTCAATCTATCTGCATATCTATCTATCGTTGGCTTTAATTGCCGGGCTTATATACAAAAAAAAAGGGCGTCTGGCAAACTCTCGGACATTCGCGGGGTTCCTCGATAATTCATGATCCTTCGAGAACTCTAGCGCGCATGTTCACAGCGTCGCGTGACTTCCGCTGTCGTAACAGTATAATGGCAGAAGTAATATGGAATTACTAGTTTGTAAACTACTTGTTCCAAACACAGTTGCCATTATTTTATATTTTCTTTTTAACCATACTCCAAGAGTAAATTTTGATACATAGACATACATAGAATTTAACTTAAGGACAACAAGGGATCTGTTGGGCCATCTAGACTGTCTCATCCATTAAACTGAACTTTAAAATTAAAATACAACACTCAAAGCCAGCCCTTATCATTCAAATATTTACCAAGTCTTCCCTTAAACACCCTTAAATTAACTGCATCCATCACATCTGAAGGCAACTTTGCTTCAGCCAACCACCTTGTTAGAAAAATAAAAATGTCTTACCTGAAGATGACTCCAACCTGCCAAAGTTTATACTTCTGTCCCCTAGTCTTACTATTCTCACCATTAAGTATGAAAAAAGATGACGAATTAACATATCAGTTACTTTTATAATCTTAAACACCTCAATCTGATCTCCTCTAAACTTTTTTTTTGAGAGAAAACAATTCCAGTGATCTTAATCTTTGTATGACGACTTTTTACAGGTATCATCTTAGTACCCCTCCTCTGAACCCTTTCCAACAATTCAATGTCATTCCTAAGGTAAGGAGCTCAAGACTAAACACTTGACTCCATATTTGGCCTGCTTAATGACATCAACAATAACATTACTATCTCTTTAGACTTGTCTTTAACATTTCTGTAGTTACCACCTAAAATCCCATTAGCCCTACCACTAGAAACAGCATGCAGCTTGGATCTTGGACGACTTAAGAGACTGATCAACCATTACACCAATACCCCTTTCTTTCATGACACTGTTAAGGTTATTCCAATCCATGTTATATTTATAATTCAAGTTATGATAACTCACACGAATTATCTTGTATTTATTTGTATGTGTAGTATGTACACCATGGGAGATACACACACAAATGTGTAAACACATACCTGTAACTGAGAACTTGAAATATCTTTTTTTATGTGTGTATTGTAAAGAAGAAAACATGATAAAATTCGTCAGTTAAAGGTATATTGCTCAGTAAACATGATTGAAACGAATACCTGTAAAATCTCTTCTTACTCATTTAACATTAGAACAAATAGCTCTAAAATCTTGTAACTTCATTAAGAGTGTATTTTAGCGACAACGAGGGAGCTATTGGTCCATCTAGGCTATCCTATCCTCTAAACTAAACTAAAATTATTTTTAAAAAACCTTATAGCCAGTCCTTATCGTTCATACAGGTATCAAGCTTTCTCTTAATCTCACTTAATTTACTGTTTTCACAACATATGAAAGCAATCCATTTCAAAGGCCAACCACCCTGTTAGAAAAATAAAATTATCTTAACAGAAGATGACTTTTACCCTGCCAAAATTTATATTTGTGTCCCCTGGTCCTAATATTCTCACTGTTAAGTATGAAAAAAGATGATGCATCAACACTATCAATTCCCTTAACAATCTTAAACACCTCAATCAGATCCCCTCTAACTTTTTTTTCAAGAGAAAACAATTTCAGAGATCTTAACCACTCCTTGTACGACAACCCTTCCATCTCAGGCATCATTCTAGTAACCCTCCTCTGAGTTCTTTCCAACAATTCAATGTCCCTCCTAAGGAAAGGTGTGGTGTCAGTTCTTCACACCTCTAAGGTGTGATTTCGCTCCTTTTGTTTCTAGGGGCATACTTCTTAAGTTATAAAAATAAAATTAAAAACAGTCAATATTTATTCAAAACTATTATGTACACGTAAATGAAAAGAAACGTTGCAGCTATTGAACGAGAAAGGTTGTAGTTGCTGAAACTCTTAATGAAAGATTACTGTGAAAAATTTCTTTTCATGTCTTTAATCGTATTACTAAACATATGTGTTGGTCATTAATTCCCTATCAAATGGTATAAACGGACAACATATGTAAGCTCCATCTGGTGTAGCATGTAATCTGTTTCTACTGATTAAACACGACAGTGGATTCTAGCATCACGAATAGAAGTTACGAAAATCATGAGGCATGGTTGAGATTATGGCTGAAAACATTGCTAACTACAAGGGTACCCAATTGATGAATCAATGCATTCTAATATTTAAGAGAGAGAACTGCATATTAATTGAGTTATGTTAATTACTGGGTTAATTTTTCAATTTTGATCTATATAGGAAGATTGCTTTCATTATAAGTTGATGATAAGATGAGGAAACACTCTCAATCAATCTTAACCTTACTTTCTCTCCATGGTTATTGTCTAGGAAGTGTTTGTGGTTTCGAGGATATAATTTATTCCATGAACTCCACTTACCATGTTTCACTTCTTATCATATTAAAAAGTCTGAAGATCAAGGCCAACAAATTTATTTGGCAAGAATTAATTGGAGCATCAGATAGAATACAATGTTGCATTCTAAGAATTAATTGGAGCATCAGATAGAATACAATGTTACATTCTAAGAATTAATTGGAGCATCAGATAGAATACAATGTTACATTCTAAGAATTAATTGGAGCATCAGATAGAATATAATGTTACATTATAATAATTAATTGGATCATCAGGTAGAATACAATGTTACATTATAATAATTAATTGGATCATCAGATAGAATACAATGTTACATTCTAAGAATTAATTGGAGCATGAGATAGAATACAATGTTGCATTCTAAGAATTAATTGGAGCATCAGATAGAATATAATGTTACATTATAATAATTAATTGGAGCATCAGATAGAATACAATGTTACATTATAATAATTAATTGGATCATCAGGTAGAATACAATGTTACATTCCAATAATTAATTGGAGCGTCAGATAGAATACAATGTTACATTCCAAATACATTTTGCTTTCTTCACCACAGAGAAGAGCACTACTGCCATCAGCTCGACTGTGTCAAGTGCAACATTTCCCGCCCGTAAGCCTTTGGTTACACCTTCTACCATCACCACTACGACCACCACCATGCAGCCAACATCTACAGATGCTGACGTACTATTTGGATGGTTTAATCCGCGTTTCCCTCTAAGCCACCAACAATTAAGACCTATGTAGTGCCATCTCGAGAAGACAAGAAAAAAATAATTCCCAAGAAGAACGGTAAGAAACCGAAACGACCCATGTATTAACGTAACCAACTCGCTAAGAAACCGAAATATACATCTCTGCTATATTTCGACTGTTACGCTATTTATATGTTGCATTGGTGGAAGTAGAAATCTATGTAAATTTCATGCTAATCAGGAATCATGAACGTTTATTTCAGAACAGGTGTAGTGAAAATACTATTTATAAAAACAATTTTTAAAATATGTCTATACTTTAAACACAAGCTGATGAGATTAAAAGTATATACTAATTTATATAATACAGTCTTGGCCAAAATGTTTGCATACTGTTCTATATTGATGTTACTGTGTACATGCATGAAGTAGTTATTGAGTAAATGTCCGAGTAGAAACAGGGAAGGTAGCTTGTGATCAGACAAACATGTACGAGTTGTTATTCTGATCTGTATAAGTTGTTTTGAACATTTGTTCGTCAAAACAAACATACACACCTGTTGTGTATAAAAGGGTGAGCTTTTGATATAATCTTTTTCGAAGCAGATCAACGTTTTATTTAGGCAATTTCTCTGTACTTGGTGTAGAGTCATGCTTTGTCACGTGTCAGAAGTTATAGGGTGTCAAATTGTTCGACGGTCCAAAAATGATATGAAGCAAACGGACATTGCCAGAACAGTAGGGTACTCCCAATGTACTGTATCCAGAATCCTGAAACGTCATCGGACTACAAGAAACCTTGTTCCAGGAAAGTATACTGGTGGACGCCGAAAAACTACTGTCCGAGATGACCGTGTGGTCAGGTTAGCATGCCAAAGTTGAAAGAAGTCTTGCAAAACCTTACGACAGAAATGGCATAAATACATTCATTCCAAAGCATCCAGAAGAACAGTGAATAGGAAACTGACCAAACAAAGTTATTTTGCAACAAGGGCTGTCTGCAAAACGATATTAACCAGAATTCACCACCGTCACCATGTTACTTGGACAAGACAGCATGCCATCTTACAGTTAAGATACTGGCGACATGTTATCTTTTCAGATGAGTCCTGTTTTTGGTTTGTTAAGGCTGATGGTAGGATTCGTGTTCGTTGTTTACCTGGAGAACAGATGAGGGAAGACTGTCTTTCCCACAAAGAACACACAGAAAGTGGTGCAGTATATGTTTGGGCAGCTATTCATCATGGTGAAAAAACTGCTCTTTATATCCTCCAGGGAATCATCAATGCGCCTCCTACAGGCATCACATGGAGATGAGATTTCTGCCATATGCTAGGGCAATATTTGGCAATAACTTTATGTTCCAGGATGACAGTACTACTGCCCACAGTGCACGTATTGCCAAGGATTATCTTGACCAGCGGGACGTTATAAGATTGCCATGGTCAGCAAAGTCTCTAGATTGTAATCCCATTGAGAATTTTTGGGTAGAACTGAGCCGGAAAATTTCTAACCACGACCCTTAACCAGCTACTATATTTAAGTTGCAGCTTTTTCTAGTGACAAGTTGGGATGAAATCATGGTGTATTACATCAATAATCTCATGGACAGCATGTCATGTCGCCTTGCAGAGGCTATTGGAGTATGGGGAGAACCAAACAAGTACTGAATGTTTAGTATGAACTGATATAAGGTTAGAGACGCTATTTAAAATAATTTGATGTTATATTTCGTCATTATATATGTTTTGGTAAGGTTTTCTTGTGATAGATGAAATGCTGAATTACACATCTCTCTACAGGTGTTTGAAAAAATTGTTTGTTGTTCTAATAAATCGTTCATGATGTCCATAGAACCTGTCTTATTATACAAATTACATATGTAGATGTTTAATATAACATGCATTTCTCAGTTTGACAGCACTAAGTAGTGTATTTGTATTCCATCTTAATAATGATCTTATTTGTTACAAAATATGCAAACATTTTGGTCAAGACTCTATTTAGTATTTGTCATTTAGTAAAGAAACTCCACTAATATATAATATGTAGTATTTCTGTATTTGTTACCTTGCAAAAAAAAGCCAATATGTAACATTCAGTTTGAAATTTGGATTAATCTATAGTTTTTAAAATAATAAACCAAATTAACAGCACCTAGTGTCTAACGTACAGGGTGATGAAGAAGAAAGTTTCGCATTTCAGCACGTCATATCTTACAAAGCAGCACGGAGTACTGGAAGGTGGAATATAACATGGATGTTAAGGATAGCATGCAGGTGCAAATGCCACAGTTGATACATGTTACAACCAGGGGTACCACAGTGGTTTCTTTCGCATATTTACCATGTGTATAAATGGGCTTGTCGATCGAAGAGCAGTTCTTTCAACCCTCTTGAAACTAACAACTGAGTAAGGAGGTGTAAGGATGCAACGTTGAGGCAGCTATCAGGGAATACCATAGAGTACATATAACGTCTACAGAGGGTCTTGTTTCAGTGTTGTTGTTCGTAAGTTCATAAAAACATTTGAGGAAATAGGTTGCACTTGTGATGAGCCAAGTACACTTACACATACTAAAGCCATCGTTGTAGTCAACCATGCCATGGCAAATACAGACACCGGGCAACATAACATGCCCTGTTGCATCTATGCATACTTGTTGAACTGTTTGTAAGGTTCTTCGGGCAACTGTTTGAGTGTTTCCTTACAAGCTGCATCAAGATCAATTTAAACTGATATTTTGATTTTGTGTTGCAGTTCTTGACAAGAGTGGAAGTCCATTACCAATGGCCTGTCAATATCTAATGGGCTGATAAAGCATTGTTGTTCTTTCTGGAAGTGCCAACTGCATTATCTGGTCAGAAACTAATCCACATGTAACATTTTCTACACTCTTTCATGTTGCTAAGTTGACTTTGTTATTGGAAGTACGTTTTGAAAAAATCACCAGCCCATGGAGTACAAACCTATACAGTCAATGCTGCACGGTACCATCCTACAGCAACAAAATGGGAGAGACATTATGGTTTTAATGAAGGATGGTACCTCTCCGTATATTGGTAAGCAGATGAAATGCATCTTGTAGGAGCACTTTCAGGGCAGAATCTTTTTACGTTACTTTCCTTGTGAATGGCCACTTTGTTTAACAGACATACTAACATCAGAAGTTTTCTGGTTGGGAAATACCTGAAGCAATAATTGGACTCTGGGAAGCCTCGTGCTATTCCAGACATCAGAATGCACTTGTCCAGGAAGTAATCAACATACCAGGTGAGATGTGCATTGTTGTATTAATGTCCATTGTCACACGGATACAATGCATTCTAGACTCTGGAGGAGCACATTTTGAACCGTTGCTGAGATTGATAAGACATTAGGTCGTAGTGGCGTCCCTGGTGGCAACATGGGATAACCATGCATGATACCTTCACCACCTCCTACGTACAATTTTACCTTCTTCTGCCTGTCTGTTTGTGAGATACGACGCACTGAATTGCAAAACTTCCGTTACAATTACCTCGTATTTATGTAGATAATCTTGGATTTCAATATTAACTGAATCCAAGGAGGCAATGAATCAATATTTATTTTTTATCTTTTCTTTCAGAAAACAAAGACAAACAGTCGAAAGAGACACGAGCTAAAAACGAAGAACTGGTCAACAACACAGCGTCCGATTTCCACGGAATTCGCGTGCCAGTGGTGTCGCTAGTGTCGCTATTCATTGTAATTTTTCAGACAAGATGAACTTCGTCGATTAAGAAGTACTATATTAAAACTTTTCAATATTTTGCCGTGTACAGCTGTACCATAGTGCCCTGTAATATAGGTGTTGAAAAAAAAAGGCTCCGACCGAGAAGCCAATGGACATCTGGTCAGTGAACAAGTCGTATTTTTTTTTTAAGGAGACTGTTTTTCTCCTTGTTCTGATTACTAAAGTTTAAATGTAAACTTATCAATTCGGTATATTATTCAAAGTGAACGTACCCGCTAGTTAACAATGATTAGGGCTTTCCAGGTGGAGTTGCGAGCTTTGCGAAAATAAATTTCCTTCAAAAAAACGTGTAAAAGAAGTACATTTTGATTTGCAGCATCTTGTAGTCTATCTACATTGCTAATCTACAGTGATCTGGAATAAGACTTTGTATTGATAACAACAAATACGACAACATAAATATAAAGTATCTTTGAAATGTTTGCTCTTTCAAGCCACTGTTCAAAATTTATAACTATATTTGTTTTAATTTGTCGCCTACAAATATGAATGTTAAAAAAAATCAGTTGAATTGGCATTTCTACTGCAGTTGTGTAGAGTCACGTGACTCCTTTCGTGTAAGAATTATTACCCAGCAAATCCCATATGTGTTAATGATATGGTATTATTATTATCGACTCAAAGTTATAAACAGTTTGTATTTCATTTTCTACCTATAAATGTGACCGATCATGAACAGTAAAATAAGTCGAATTGGCATTTCTAATGTCATTGTGTACAGTCACGTGACTCGTGTCGTGTAAGATTTGGTGCCTAGCAAACTCTATATGTATTGTTAGTAAAACATTATTAAAGACTTAGAGTGCTGTTTACCAAGTTGCTTTAGAAAAAATGAAAAGTTGTTATCCAGTTAATATTTCTTAACATTAGTTTGCTCACTTATTCGTTTGATGACATATGGTAATTATTTGTAATGTGGTAAAACTGTAACGCAGATCAGACAGTTACAATAATTACCATTGCAATAGTTCTCATACTTAATACAAAGGTACATTGACTAATGAGACATATTATATGGTACTTTGACCAATCATATGATTTAAGACATTATATAGTGCAATGGCCAATCATATAGTTTAAGACAATGCGTGAGATTGGTATTTAATCCAGTTAATACAAATTTCGAGCACTTTACGCGATTTCTACTGCTATATCTCACTTATTTCGTTCGTACTTGATTTATTGTTCTACTAATCCCAATGTTGTGTGGATTCTGTCGAATGATATTAACATTGAGTTACGACAATCTGTTATCCGCGGCAATGGTAGTCATGGAAACAAATAATTGTGTGGAATAATATTATCACTGAGTTACAGCAGTCTGTTATCCGCGACAATGGTAATCATGAAAACAAATAATTGAGTGAAACGATATTAACACTTGGTTTATCGTAGTCTGTTAACCGCAACAATGGTAGTCATGGAAACAAAAGGAAATTATTCTTCTCAGAATGTGGTAAATACTTTGTTTAGGGAGGAAAGTACGAAGTAATACAATCAAGTATAGAGTCACATGTTAATTAATAACCAATTTCCTATGATATACGAGTTTGAAGTAAAAATATGTTGGTCAACACGACGGGAACCAAAGATTTGCCGAAATTGAAGGTCAGGTTCTATTTAAAAACTATTGTGCCAAATAGTATCTAGTGCACAGTGCCTTATGAGTACAGTGACCTTAGTTCAAGCACATTAAATCCACTCAGCATTATTTTTTAACCATGTTATTTTAGAATAAACGTGTCCAAATAGATCCTTCTAATAATTTGGATAATCTAAGCAAATTAACAGTTGTTATTAATTGTGTTTTTTTTATTTTATTTAAATTTTATTTTCAAAACGTCGTAAGAGAAGGTGTTTTCGCCATTACAACTTGTTAAGAGTTCTGTTTAAAAGTCAACTTTATGTCTTGCCTAAAAGCACACATTTCAAACAGATTAGGAAGTATGAGTTATAACACTGCATAGCAGGAAACAAATTCCAGTGGACGTTTTTTTCATTTTAAAATAAATTCAAGTGGACATTTTTTTATCTAAAATAAATTCCAGTGGACATTTTTTATTTTAATCGATAGTGCTTAAGTGACTACAGAGTTGCGCAGTATCGAATTTTAAATACGAGGTCTAGCCAACGTTTGTAATGATTTGTTTTTTCAAAGAAAAAGTACGATGAAGAAATAATCTTTCCTCCGAGTTGATGCTAAAAATAACAATAGCCAGTGAAAACAATTAGCAATAGACTGTATGAGGTAAAACAGTTTGGTATAAAGTATTTGAACTGCATTATTGGAACTGTATTCTCAATATTAGTGATTTTTGTCTATAAGTTTCAATATTTAAAAAAATATATATTTATTTAAAAGCAAGTAATAACCTGGTTATAGTTTTAGATACAGGAAACATGCCACTTAAAACCTTCCTATTATTTTTGTGTGATCTGTTGCTGTTTATACTCTTTTGTCTGAATTTGTTTACTTGTTTTAGAGCAAAGCTACATTGGGCTATCTGTTGTGTCCACTGTGTGGAATCAAACCCCGGATTTTAACGTTGTAAGTCCGTAAACTTACCGCTAAATTTGACTAAATATGTGACATTGAAATCAGGATTCAGGCTTAGCAGTTCTCGAGTGAAAACAATAACTGTATACTCGGTATCGTAAATATATAAATAGCTTTCCAAGATGTGATTTGCTAACTTATTGGTTCAACTGTAGTATTTGGAATAAATTTCCGAGATATTAGGATGCGTTATATAGATATATATAAGACCTTGCTAGTAATTTTCCGAACCAGAAGTTTGTTTGTTTGTTTAACCAGTAATAAATGAAACACATATTTTTTTTGAACCTCAAATTCTTTAAAAACGTAAGAAATTATTGGCGTGTCTGTGAATGTCTAAAACGTACTTAGATATGTGAGACACTTACATTGATATTTATAGAAAGGCCTTATTCACCAATAGGTATTATGAACGTATTTGACCTGATTTTTTTTTCTTCCAGTTTTCTCTCTTGTTTTAAGTTTAAACTGTATTTAATAGAATTATAATACTAAGCTCGTGGTTACCCTCAACCTACTGTTGCTGTACATCATCTGATAGTATCTTTAAAAAATAAACAAATAAATACAAAGAATGAGAAAACCAATGGGCGTGTACAATAAAATGTTGGGTCATGTTCATGTTGACAGAAATAAACCATGTGGTTTTCTTTGGTTTTACCCCAACTTTGTGTTTAAATGTTGTCGTAGCTGAGGTTATGGACTTGTCCAGGGGGTTTGAGTTAGGTCCAAATGGGTGGGTTGGATACATTTTCTGCTGGGTTTTAAAGTTCACTTCAGTATTAAACTGTTTGTAGCATGTAAAATGTTGGAGTGTGTAGCTAGCTGTATAGTTGACTTTTGTGGCTTTGAAGCACGTAAAGTGGATTGATATCATGAAGATGAGAAGATATATCACTATTATACCATACTTCAGGAGGAATTGGAACAAGGAATTAACATCATTGTTATACCGTATTTCAAGAGGAACTGGAACAAGGAATTAACATCATTGTTATACCGTACTTCAGGAGGAACTGGAACAAGGAATTAATATCATTGTTATAGCGTATTTCAAGAGGAACTGGAACAAGGAATTAATATCATTGTTATAGCGTATTTCAAGAGGAACTGGAACAAGGAATTAACATCATTGTTCTACCGTATTTCAAAAGGAACTGGAACAAGGAATTAACATCATTTTCTACCGTATTTCAAGAGGAACTGGAACAAGGAATTAACATCATTTTCTACCGTATTTCATGAGGAACTGGAACAAGGAATTAATATCATTGTTATACCGTACTTCAGGAGGAACTGGAACAGGGAATTAACAACATTGTTATACCGTACTTCAGGAGGAACTGGAACAGGGAATTAACAACATTGTTATACCGTACTTCAGGAGGAACTGGAACAAGGAATTTATATTACTTTTACACCGTACTTTGCGAAGAATTGGAACAAGGAATTAATATCACTGTTACACCGTACTTTGCGAGGGATTGGAACAAGGAATATCACAGTTACACCGTACTTTGCGAACGATTGGAACAAGGAAGAGACATGTTGCAAACATTTGTAGAAATAATCTATTTATTACCTGATGGAAGGTTTATATGTTTAAGTGATGTGATTCTGGCATAGCTTGTGATGAAAGATGTTTTACCCGGTTCTTAATCTGCTCAATGAAACGTGGCTGAATTTCATACAAAAAACAAAAAAAAACAACAACAAAGGTTTACTTCCTTTATATGTTCTTTCAAAAATCTAACTTATTTTTGATTGATTCAAACTTACAGACTATGTAACCTACTCTTTCATGTTTAGTGAACTTCAAAAGTTATAACAAAATAACTGGTTCTTGCCGTAAGTAGAAGTTATACAAGAAACTGCCCACGAATGTAAAAACTTAAGAAATTTTCCTATGGATGTGATATATAGAAGTGTATGTTTTGATTAACCACAGCAATTACAAAAAATGTCTTGATGTTGTTCTCACCTAGCTTATTGTTTGGTCTCAACAAATGATTATCCCAGTCCTGTTATGTTAAAAAAATCGATTTTTGTATGTTTTCTGTAGCATAAAATAAAGCTTAACGTTTTTGGCGCATATATATATATATATATATAGATTGTTTATAAGCCTCATGTTTCTTCTTATATTTCGTTAGCCGCGACAAGATAACGTGACAAATATATTGCTAAATCTAGATCTTTCGATGATATATTTCTACACAATTCTTAACATGTTAACAAAAAATAAAAACAATAAACTGAACAAATAAACAATGAGAGATAAAGTACAATAATATGAAATACATCTTCGATACAGTTATATAGATAACTAAAGTGCAATAGTCTATATAACTGTATCGAAGATTTATTTGATAGGTGAGTAGTAGCACCGAGTTCTACATATAAATAAAAACTCATTATTTTATTGCTGTCATAAGAGCTACGAAAACATATTTCATTGATGCATTAGAAAGAATTGCAAAAATTTATTTAAATGATATATAATATCCTTATAGAAACTGATATTTAAAAAATTATCAATTTGTGCAGTCAATACTGTCAAGTTAAATGATAAATGTGTAATTACTGTTACACATTTTTTAGAATGATGTCTTTTTCAGACTATACCAGACAGAACTCCATGTATTGAGAGTACAAACAAGCCCACATAAAAGTCATATTATTTTATGCCACATGGCATAACCGTTGTACATGACACGTCTGCACACAACACACACACACTAACACCACAGTGAAACTGAAAACCTGGTGCACAACTGTGGAGGGAGGAATGAAACAAATATATCGCGAAAACACCTATCAAAATAAACAAAGTAATATAAAGTATGTATAGGAAGCTAGTTTCAACAGTTTCTATTTTTTAATTGAATTAAAATCTTATGATTTTTACTTTTCCTCTATTATGAAGAAACAAAGGCTAGAAAACAGTAAATTGATATTGCATAGGCAAAAAGTAAATGTGGGTTTATGATAATGGCATCATCATCATATTTTAACATTACATTTTCTTACTGAAATTATAGCAATTGGTTAGACATCAAACAATAATTTCATTTGTACAATGGTAGCTTTGTTTTTACAACAAACAAAATGTGAACAATAGTGTATTATTCAAGTTATGCATACTTTCAGCTTTTGGTAATGATAAAAAACAGTCTTCATGTGGGAGTCAATGGGTTTTTATGGTTCTCAGGTTTGACTGAACCAATTTACTTTTAAGATTGGTTAAGATTAACAATGGTTTATTATTCAAATTATGTTTACCTACAAGTTTTGGTAATGATAAATGATATTCTTCATATAGAAGTCAATGGGTTTTTAGTGTTTTCAGGTTTGACTGAACCAATTTACTTTTAAGATTGGTTAAGATTAACAATGGTTTATTATTCAAATTATGTTTATCTACAAGTTTTGGTAATGATAAATGATATTCTTCATATAGAAGTCAATGGGTTTTTAGGGTTCTCAGGTTTGACTGAACCAATTTGCTTTTAAGATTGATATTAACATGTAAGAAGCCAATCAAAACAAAAAAACAAATTCATATTTTTTGGAAATTTTAAAAATTGGAGCCATCACAGGGGGTCAATGGGGTTTTGAGAGGATCTAAAGACAGATACCACGAACTTACATGGAAATATATACTTACAATTAAAATTTGTAATATTTTGTTTTTGTTTTAAGAGTCTCTAAATGGGAATCTGAAGGCTCTTAGAATTTGGTACAAAGATTTGCTTGAAAATTAACAAATTGCCATAAATATTGTTTGACAAAGGCGTATAAAATCTATTTACATGTTCGTTGTTTCCCATAACTAATGTGTTACTCACTGTACAGTAGTGAAACAGAACAGTGAACAACTTAAACCAATATAAGCTTTTGGGATTAGTAATGTATTTAAATTAAGGTCTGTCATGCGAGATTGGAGCTTGTATTTTCAGGCTTCAACATAGTTAGAAGTGTAAAAATACCCATGTAAACAAAAATTATTTTAACTATTAAAACTACAATGGAATTAGACTGTATCTCAAGTATCTTCAGTTCTTAATAAAGCTTCTATTGTACTTTTTTTTGTATTTTGAAAACGTTTGGTAATTAATGACAGCTCTTTAAAATGTGTTCACCTCTTGAACTGACAATTAATGACGACTTTTTAAGATGTATTCACCTCTTAATCACAGCTCTTTAAAATGTGTTCACCTCTTGAATTGACAATTAATGACGGCTCTTTAAGATGTATTCACCTCTTAATGACAGCTTTTTAAGATGAATTCACCTCATGAACCGACACTTTCTCACAGCTCTTTAAGATGTATTCACCTATTAATGACAGCTCTTTAAGATAAATTCACCTCTTGAACCAACAATTAATGACAGCTCTTTAAAATGTATTCAACTCTTGAACCGACACTTAATGACAGCTCTTTAAGATGTATACACCTCTTGAACCGACAAATAATGACAGCTCTTTAAGATGTATTCACCTCTTAATGACAACTCTTTAAGATGAATTCACTTCTTGAACTGGCACTTTCTGACAGCTCTTTAAGATGTATTCACCTCTTGAACCGACAAATAATGACAGTTCTTTAAGATGTATTGACCTCTTGAACCGACACTTAATGACAGCTCTTTAAGAGGTATACACCTCTTGAACCGACATATAATGACAGCTCTTTAAGATGTATTCACCTCTTGAACTGACAATTAATGACAGCTCTTTAAGATGTATTCACCTCTTGAACCGAGAGTTACTAACAGCTCTTTAAGATGTATTCACCTATTGAATCGACACTTACTGACAGCTCTTTAAGATGTATTCACCTCTTAAACCGACACTTAATGACAGCTCTTTAAGATGTATTCATCTCTTAATGGCAGCTCTTTAAGATATATTCACCTATTGAACCGACACTTACCGACAGCTCTTTAAGATGTATTCACCTCTTGAACCGACACTTAATGACAGCTCTTTGAGATGTATTCACCTGTTGAACCGACACTTACTGACAGCTCTTTAAGATGTATTCACCTCTTAATGGCAGCTCCTTAAGATATATTCACCTATTGAACCGACACTTACTGACAGCTCTTTAAAATGTATTCACCTCATGAATCGAGAAGGTTTTGCACAACAGGTTTTGTTTATAAAAAATGTATATATGTCATGATAATGAAACGAACTTAAATAGAACAAAGAAACTGTGAAACTTAGGTCTAGCAGTAACAAACTCGATTTCACAAGTTTAGGTAAAGAGTAAGTTTAAGCATTTTAGAATTATGAGTAACTATCATAGATAAATAATCATGGTCCCATCCAAAGCACCAAATTAAAGTAAAAATTACTTTAACAAATACATTTTTGTACATAAATATAAGCCTAATTTACTTGCAAAAGGATATTAAGAAAAACAATATTTGAGACTGACATGAACCACGAAAACAAAACGTGTAGTGATTATTTTGGACACATACCCCCTCACAGGGGCTCAATGGTATTTCTCAGGGCTTATGATGGTAAAAATTGGGTTTCAATACTCGTAGTGGGCAGTGAACAGGTAAATAGCCTGCTTTGAAGCTTTGTGCGTACATTTATTGCAGGTGCTGCCATCTGTAGAGGATTAAACTAACTGATTAAACGTAGGGTAACTTATAATAAGTTGGCAAACAACGATTTACATAATGAAGTGATTTATTTGGGAGGGGGTTGGGGAATACAACACGTTTCGACAGAATATTGGTCTGTCTTCTTCTGTTAAAGATCTAAGCGTTGTTAATAATATTAAACAAAATACTATACGGTTTTATAAAGTAAACCTCGTTTTTTGTCATGCAAGAATTTGTATTAATTCGAATTGATAACATAAAAAATAAATCATGTAAAACGCAACCATAAAAAACACACACAAAAATTCAACAAAATTTTGTCAAAATACTTAATCTGTTGCGATCACTTAGATTTTCAAAAAAATATTATTTGAAATTAAATAACTCCATCACAGTGTCATTAGATACAAACAATCGAACGATTGATTATTATATTCGCAAATATTAATTTAATATAGTGATTAATGAATAACTAGAATCAATCGACTGTTACAATTTCATTATTAAACTAAATTCTATTCGACTAACATAATTAAACATAATTTGGGAAAAGCCATTTTCTAATGACATTTACCCAACGTTGATATATCTGGGAGACACCAGCAAACGAACGCAGCAAAGCGTACTACGGATCAGATAGAAACCAATTTGCCCTAAAGCTAGGTATTGGGAGGATAAGAAAAACTAAAATAGGAAAAACCTGTCATTATTTACAGATAAATAGCAGCTTTGGGACCTCCCTGATGTTATCAATTACAGCGTGGTTTGAAAGAGTGTATACCTGTCTACTGGAGGAAACATACTGTAAGACATATGTAAGATGGATAAGATAGATTATATATAAAATAAAGGTTGTAGGACATCAATCAAGTATGTCCTACAACATTTTAATTGTTTGAAATTTATTTTCAAAACAAAACCAATGCTACTATATATTAATTTATTCTATTAATCAGTATTTTCTTGTATTTCGTTCTATTTGCTGTACTAAAAAATGCTCGTAACAACGACCTTGTAACAACACGACCTTGTGGCAACACAAAACTAGGGCTTTGTATGGCTTGGTGGTTAGGTCGCTCGAC